CAATGTCTCGTTACGTTTTAATTTCTACACTGATTTTTTATTCACAGAATATTTTCTCTTTCACTTCGTCGCTTCAGAATCGCTGTTTCATCACTTCACGAAATGTAATCGAGTATTTATAATTCAAACACTGATATCCACACTTAAAACACATCTTACATTAAAGTTTCAAGAGAAAATAGCTAACCCCAATGACGACGTGACGTCCAACAAAGATCCACCTCACTGATAAATACCCCTAATCGCTGCCTATTCAGCGAAAGAACGAGCTCATCATTCTATAATCTATTTATCTCATACCACTCACTTACGGACTTTCGAGGTTACTACATTGATACGAAAAATATCCACGTGTCGGTCGCACAAGGCCTAATACGAGATACGAAAGAAAAAGATTAGTTATTGGGAATACGTTGTTTTACTTTACGGTATTTATTCCAGGAAAGAATTGATTTATTGTTACTTGTAAACACGAGCATTTATTTGTTAGTCGTTTCTTCAACTGATATCACCATTGAAAGTTTAATAACAATTTTTTTTAAAAGTTCAATGTACCTTTGTTCGTTCCATTTCTGAAACTAAACACTGGAGACTAACCTGGCTAACAGAAGACTGGCATGTAGAGAATGTAGACAAAAATAAAATGTAGAGGTAGGGAAGAAGCAGGTACAAGAAATTCTTTTCTCGATGCAGTAGAATGTATATTCTACTGTATATTCTATTATATTCTAGTATATTCTACTATATTCTAGTATATTCTGTTCTTTTGTATAGTATTTCCTTTCTGTAATATAATATCGAAATGTTTTTATTCTACGACGTTCAAAAACTTTTTCGAATTAAGAAAACAAACAATTTCAAATTATAAATTTTCTTTTTTTAAAACTTGTCCTTGAATGATGATCGATGAACTAATCGTCACACTGGGGTTTTTACTTAAAATTTAAAACTCTTGTATCTCTTTTCAATGAAAAGTAACAGTATCCTAGATGGTTTTACCGATTTTTTTTTACAAAGAACCACATCAATTGACTTTTTTGATCAATTTTAAAACACGCTTTTAGTTATTTTTTGAAAATTCCTTACTTCGATCCTGAATTTGTTCTGCTTGTATTCTGACAGAAGATGGAAGTAAATTTATTATACGATGCCTAGAATCTAGATTTATTTTGTGCCGAAAGCTAACATTGTAACTGATCTTTATACGTAAAAATGTGACCAACATATTTCTTATTGATTACGATATTATAATAACAACAAATTATAGCTTCTCTAATCTAAAATTTTTATTCTATATTTTAAGATTCGAAAAGTTGTAGTCTCGTAATGATACTTCTGTGATATCCTGTATACTACGATATGACTTTGGAGTATCGTGGCATTGTAATGACACATTTTACATTCTAAGAATGCATACATGCACTTCTTCGGGTGCGGATCTCCTGGAAGTGCCTCGCCTTCATTTCTTCCTGCTTCGACAGCCACTCTCGCTGCTGAGTTGCATTATGTTGCGCGCATTATGCACCTCGTCCTCGTCGTGCAATTTCGAAGAGGTCGGATGCATACACACTCGAATACGAATACCAACGGAATCTTGCTTTTCTATGACGCTCTTATACAGGAAGTCTTATAACGCTTATATTGAATTTCAAAAATGTGCTCGTCTTTGTGAACCATTTTTTCGATATTAATATTGAACTTTAATATTAATTTCATGCTAATTACCTCAACGAAGTCAATTTTTTGCAATTGAAATTATCTGATAATGAGTGATGACATTTGAATTTTTAATTATCATTTTCATTGTTTAGAAATATTCCGTCTTTAATATGAAATAACCTGTAAATAGATGTTGGTTGAAAGGTCTGTAAAATAAAAATAAAGTTTAAATTTGTAGAGAGAAAGGGGGGAGGGGGAGAGATAAAAAGTTAAGAATACATTCTTAATTCACAGTTTAAACATGCCACGTATTTATTCGATAATTGTATTTTATAATGTATTTAGGATTATGATAAAAAGAAGCTTTGTTTATGGGGCTAGTTTTGGTAGAAAGAGAGAATTATTAGTTTAATTTTAAAAGTTATAGTTACCACAAGAATTGTTAAAAGCATTCTATTTTTTTGATAAAATTGAATCACAATCTTGCGATCCGCTAGACTTCAAGGTAGTCTAGTTCAATTAAGTCAATCAAGTCAAGTCATTTTAAAACTGATCTATGCTATTTGTAGATATCGGTGACCTCGAAAAAATTTCACGACACTAGATAATGAAGTTTAAATTATACGAGCGAGCAAGGATTAATAACGTGATTGCGCGTAATTGCGTTTCGGCGTCGCGATATTAAATATGATGCAGTCAGCAAAAGGCGAGTATAGATAAGTCCTCTACGTTTACACAACTGCGATATCATGCGCTCTTAAACGCATTTTAACAAGCGATGTCGCAAATGTCGAAGTGCAAACATGGAATGAATTGCACGTGTTACGTCCATGACGCGTTCTTTGAAGATGAATGACTAGAGGAATGAAAAAAGTATGACTTTGAAATTTATAGTATTATTTGCTTTATTATAAATATTTTATTACGTCTTGATACTGTACAAGAAAGCTACATTATAGCATTACATTACTATTATTATACGCACTTGCAAAAGGAATCAGTAATGATTGAGATGAGCTATCTTTAGGTCAAGGTCAATAGCTTGAGAATATACATTAGAAAATACCTGTTTGATATTTTCAGGTCTGACTTTTTGTAAAGCAATAATGCGCAACCTTTCTTTAAAAGTCATTTAGAAAGTTATTCTCAGAAACACGTAGTCTTGTCGGTCGCATAATGTTTTGTTTGTATAAAAAACAAAACATGATTTCATATCTTCAACGATGAGCCGACAGATCACAGTGTCACTACTTTAAGCATCGCTCTCTCATATTTTTATTACTTTTATACACTTAATGAGTTACACACCAGTTGGCTTTTATCTGTCCGGTATTTTAATCGACCTTACAGATACGGCTAATAGTATCGGTCAAGCATCCAAACAGTTTCCGTCATCAGTCAGATGTTATCGTTTCCGTTTCTCGCCTGGAGATCATATACCTGCGTGTACGTACACGTCAATAGCGGTTTTTTCAGGACGGTGTGTGCCAGAATGCACTCGCGCGCGCTAAGATAAAGGGACGAGAGAAAGAGTGGCGCGAGAACAGAAGCGAGGGAGAAGGATAGAGAGAAGTGAAGATACGCGCGGACGTATTTATCGCGCGCGTGCATTGTAAGGTCCGCCGACCGAGCGTGCAGATAAACACGCGCGTTGCGCACGTAACAGTATAAATAACTTGCGCAAGCGTTAATGAATGCTCTTATCTTACCCCGCTCTTCTCTGCCCCTTGAAGAGTCGCGAGATAGATATACCAGCCAGACGCTGCGTTTTATTATCTCCGTCGATGCGCGTTGCGTTTATATGCGGGATGAGCGAATTTCTTGCTTGCGCGAGAAGGCAAGGAGATAAAAGTTACGCATATCCTAGAGCGAGTTCTGTGGAGGACGGCGCGGCGCGCGAATAAGATAAATAAAACGCTGTAGGATGGTATGATAACAATAAGTATATGATATCAGTTTTTGCGTTTAATTGTCAGTGGCGTAGAACCATGTCTCTTATTTCTACATTTAGACAAAAAGATATAATGATGGCAATTATAAAAGATTATCTAAGTTTTATTTGTAGAATCAATATCCACACACACATACACTCATATAAAAAAATGGATACATAACTAGACAAGTTTTACATGTAAAATTGATACACATACATAATTGGTACGATTTTATGGTTAGGTTAAAATATAAAATGGTTTATTTTGTAGTTATTGCAAGTAAAAAATAAAATTGCGTTCAATTCTTATATATAAAACTTGTATAATTATTGCTACAATGTTTTTCTCTAAGTGAAATATGAACTTATAAAATATGCATAAATTGTGCGTAAATTGATTGAATTTTATGTAAATTACTCCTCACTGTGTGAAAGTTCGAGAAACGATATATGTAGAGGGCTGTGAAAACCTATGTCTCTCACAAAGTGTAAAAAGAAAACACGACTGTAACTGGAGAATGCAGAGATCCGACAATTGATTTCGCCTGGAGTAACGGTAACAGCTGACAGAGCTCGTTGCCCCTGGGGAGACGGGGAATCGCAGCCCCCATATTTCTCTTTTCCCCTCGCGTTACGCCATTTGCGATTTCCGCCGAGCTTTGCGAACGGAGGCCGTAGGGCAGAGATAAATCGATAAAGAACGCGAATGCGGGGGAGCATGAGAGCGACCGTGGAAGAGTTCCTTTATAGCCGTATAAATTACGCGCGTATAAATTACGTCTATCGTTCAAGCATCGTTACAGAGCACATTGTATAAAGACGTTCGCGCTCCTGACGTTAGTCTTCTCTTTGGAAGATCTTAAAATAAAAATACATCTGCAGTGGAACGATTAATTAATCGAAACGACTAATTTCTATCTGTAGACAAAGAAGAGAGATGGAGAAAATTTAATTAACCAAGACGTAACGTCCGTTTGTAAAACTTATTACAGTAAAAAGTAATTATAAGTAGCTGTATATTTTCATTGACTTGTAATTAAGAATTAATTATTATACGTACGTCATAGCTAAAATTGCGTGCCGTTAAAGCTATCTGACTTAATACCATTAGAAATTTACACTGATAAAAAAAATTAAATTTTAATAAACATTGAATAATTTTAAGTAAATATTTATTTATTGTAAGTAAATGTTTACTTAGTACTATTCAAAGAAATATGTATTAAGATTTAGTAAATTTTTTTCAGTATATTAAATGAAGTTGCATTTGTAGAATGTATTCGTCTTTTAATTGTTAAATCTGTTCTTAATCGTTAATGACTTTGTAAGCCGCGGGCCAATTTGTACGCACCGATTCGCATAATGATTGCGCATATAGACTGAATTTTCGTTTGTTTGTTTGTTACAGGGAACGTCGTGAAGTGGAAGCACGCGAGATGGAGAAGGTCAAGATGGAACGGGAAAGGCTTGAGAAACAGAGGGCCGAAGAAGCGGTTCATAAGCACTTTCAGGAATCACTTAGGCTGGCACAACAAAAGGTATGTCACTCTTTACTACCCGTTTTATTTTGACCTGACACATTCCTTCATATCTTACTCATTCCTGAGATGCGTTAGGTTTATTTTGTTTTCGAACTATTCACGATTTCTTATTTTGATGGTTTTTCTTTCCGATTTGTACCATTTGGACTGTAAATAAGGAACCAACTTTATCAGTTGCTAAGGATGTTAAAAAGAAAAAATAGCTTGAGTCATAAGGCACAGATACAATACTCACTAAACTTTTACTAAAGAAAAAGTAGTCATTTCAATAGAGATAGAAGCGACCTTTTGATAGTATAAATATTTATATTCACGCACAGAAAGCTTTTGTCTATAGTATCCAGAAGTATTCGGATTCTATAATTTTCGACAGCCAATTATCTAGTTAATTATCGATATCTTATTATTTCCTCTTATTTTCGAGACTGAAGGTAGCATCCTTCGTTTTAACAACTTCTAACAAGTTAATAATGAGGAACTTCTAGTTTTCTTCGAGGAAGGCGTGTACTTTGCGGTAAAATCATTATTTCGCAGTCTTATATCTATATAAAATGGAGAAATGGGGATCGTTGCGAAGAAATTTTGAACAAAAATTTTCAAAGAAATCGTGAAAATTCGCCAAGGAATGTTATTCATTAATCATACTGTTAATGAGTGAAAAAATCGTAAGAAAATTAAAATTTAGCTTTGCTTTCTCCTTGTTTTTCTTCTTTTGAAAGAGAAATTTCTACATAGAACAAAAATTTGGAAAAGAAGAAAATAGTCCACAAAAGTATCTGTTGTTTTCACATAAAATTATTCGATATCAATCTGTAATAATTAATACTAATAGTTTATCCTTTTTTTTATTTTTGGTAAAATTAACCCGCTTGAAATAAATTTGTTTTTGTTTTGTATTGTAAAAAGCAATGGAGATATTTAACTATGAAATTGTTAGATTATTTTTGTGCAAAAGAACATATAGTGTAATTTTTCTAATTTTTAAAGTAACTTCTGTAAGTGTAATAAGCACGTACGTTATAAATTTTGGAAAAAATCTATCTCACTTCACAATGCAATTTTTTCCCGATTTTACATAAGTTATAATTATCGAGATGCTTCGATGCACCATAATACATCAGTGAGTATAACTATTGTGAGAGGCTGGTAAGCAAAGAGAGACAGAGAAATTTTTTGTTTTGTCAAGTGTGGAGGGACGTTTCTACACATCTCTTAGGACTGAGTTTGAGACCTGACGTTCATTCTTGTACAGTCCTGCAAAGACTTTATTACAATCTCGTAGTATAGTCAGTTTTATGATAATTTCATTCCTAAAAAAATTATAAAACTTGTTTCATTCGTAACTACCGTTTATAAACTTTATAAACAAAGTTTAATTAGTATGTTTAATTGTGATGTGCGGAATTGTGAACTAATATACAAACAATATTAAAACAAATTTGGTGAAAATGAATTTTATCGTGGACTAATATCGTGATGAATAAAAAATAAAGGCGTCATTCAGATATTTGGGATCGGAGCAGTCTTTTTATTACGATGTGCATTAAAAGGAAATTGCATTCAGTTATTAAATTCAATAATGCCAGAATATCTTCCACATCAGGTAAAGTAATTCTTAATATAATTCGGCTGTGCAGTAAACTTATTTTTACATTCGCCGATTTACATCTACTTATTATACGTGTCGTAGAAAATTAGCAAATTTAAAAAGTTCAATTTTATTTAACTTAAATGGCCAGCGAGACTCTAGAGTAATTTTCTCGAATCCAGTCCACGTATCCGCGATATCAGAATATTTGCATCAGGGTCAGCGGACAGGTTTGCAATGCTTCGGCGCATCGGTGCATTGTCCGATAAGCGCGATTAACGCGTCGTTTCCGAGCACAATAGCGCGGATTGATTTCGCGCGCGGCTTCATCGTCGACCTTGGCATCTCGCCAAGCCACCGTCGGCGAACCGTGATACGCGTTTAGCACATCCGAGATTGGCTAACGATTTCACTGAAAACCGCGTGGCACGAACGCGAGCGTGAAATTTCGACGAGGTACTCGCGCTTTGTTATAACTTCTCGTTAGCTGTTGCTCGTTGCCGCAATTGTTTTCCACCGTCGAGGTGAATTATGTGTATGATGAACTCGATATAGATATTTCAAAAATTTTCTTTTCCTTGTTTGACTCACGTGGCGATATTCAACAAAGAAGGTCTTAAATAAACTTTTACTTTAACGCGAATCCACCTACGTTAATTTCTAAAGAAAAATGTGCAACGTGACTGAGACTACATTATATATATATATATATATATATAAAAATTCGAAATAGATTGAAATGAACTTTGTGTAGGCACGTACTAAAAAAGAAAAGCAGGATAATAAAAGTAGTAGTACAAACGATCCTGCAAATGCGGTGTATCGGCAATTTTAAGTTAAAGTGGTACGCAGAATATATACGTGAGTAATTAACGATAAGAGCAGTTGCCTGGAAAACGAAAGGGCATGATTCAATTATACGCGTCTTCAGTTCTTCTTATTAGAAATTTTTTCTTGGACAGGAAAAAAGGAAGAAAGGTAGAAATAATATAAATAGAATCATAAATTAGATATTTTTATTTATGCATTTGCATTCAATTTAAAATCGTAAATTTCTTCGGAATTGATTTACCGTTGCATCGCATGACATATAGTTGTCTTCTTTCAGTCGGAAAGATCTGTAGATGTGAAATGATTCTATTCAATTTTTGTCAACATTCAAAACTATTCACAACAATAGGATTTCCTTACGCTGGAAACAATTGATTTTTTATTGTGAAAGATGAATGGACAAAACAATAGAAGGCTAAGACAATAAGACTTTAAAGATAATCAGAAATTCATGTTAATTGGAAACTTATATATTCATAAATATTTGTATTTTTTCATAGATGTCCACAAATATCAATCTATAACATCAAAATAATATCTGAATATGAAATTAATTATATACCACAAACTGCTGTCTTGGGCTCTTCATCAAGATTATAAACAATTTATCGTTAGTTTCTGCATCAGGCGATAGTACGGAAAATTTTTTACACTTGGGAAATGTGACGTTTAAGCTTATTAATTGCTTGCGTACAACGTATGTATTGTACATACTATACTTCACCACTTGAACGGTTTTCCACTTTGCAAATAACTTGAGAGAGGCCGATGCTATTAACGTGACCGACTGATATTAATTATACGGTTCACCGCGTAATTAAAATGGCGTAATTATACACTCTGGCAATGCGACCCAATTAGATAGTTCTATTTTGCAATTTTTATCTTTCTCTTAATTTTGCTGAAGAACCATTTTGCAAAAAAATTATGCGTATTCTTTTGAATAACTTTAAGGTCAGTGGGTAAGCTTCACGGTAAATTCCGCGATTATTGTTAGCAGCGAAGCGATTGATTATGCAGCGCGGAAATACGCTTTCATCGGTGAATGACAAACTAACGTTGTTGGATCGGGTAAGGAAAGGAGGTCACCGTCGATAGTGATACAAGGAGGCTATGCGTAAAGTTACGTGCCGATTGTCATCATCGGTGAACCCGAAACTTTCACGCCCGGGCAAAATGGTTTGTTCCCGTCTATCTTCCTTCTTTCCTTCTTCATCGTCTTTTTTTTCTATTCCTGGCACGGATATACGTGCGCTCATACATACATCATACATACATACATACGTGCGTGCGAACGTTCCGCGAGTGGCATTTGCAATGCAAAACTCGCCGGCACGAAGGTCATTAATTATGCACTCCGCGCGACAGCGGTGCGCAACAATAGAGTCGCCGAGGCGCGCACTCCAGCGTGCACGATCATCGGCCCGGGTAGATTTTCCTCGCTATATATATTTTCGCAACGGATGATCCTTTGCGTCGAGTTGCTCGAGGACCCGCTTTTACAGCGAGGAATTTGAACAATGGCTCTTCACCGGTTTCTTTCTCAGAGACGGATTGAAGGAAACGCTGAATTGTAGGATTGTCGTTTCGTTACTTGCGATTTTTAAAATGCATCTCTTTCTCTCCCTTTAATCCCAAGAACGCATAAATCTTGCCGAGTACAAAGAATTCGATGCGAGCAGAATTATCAGATGCGAATACACCGTAGCGGATATTTTATAGTAATGGAGGTTGTAAGGCTATTTCACCCACGTAAAATTATAATATATTAATTAATTTGCGGGCGTACATATTCAAATGTAATTTCTTAATTATAGGGTAATTTTATATTACAGGAAAATATGAAATAACCATGATATTTTTTTCGTACCTCGACGGACCTCTAAATAAATTCGTGTTTTATATAAATTCTCGCGTGAAGTTAAACGCCTGGGAATAGAGAATTTTACGTGCATTTTGGTAATATAACTACGATTTTATTATAGATCTTTGCATATATACTCCAAGCTTTCTCGTATTATACATATATATTTTAAAGGTAAGATTTTGATGTAGACACGGAAAGAGAGAACTTTTTGTTAAAGTAAAAAATTTAGCCACGTTGAGAAAAATTTCTGGTTGCAGGGGAAAGACAATTTTGCTGAAGTATTTAAAATTTTAGCTACATGCGTGCATAAGATTTAAAAATAATTTTGTTAGACTCAAAATAATTATGTAGAACGCCCAAAATTAATTATTAAAATGTAAGTACATTTTGTAATTTTCCCCATCAGCTTGAGATTTCTAAGTCATTATTTTGATAATCCAACAAAATTATTTTCAGATCTATTTGTAGTTAAACTTTTCAATAATTTTAGCAAAATTATTCTTTCCATGTGAAAATGGACAATCCAGAAAATTCTGATTATATCAATTAGAATTTTATCTCAACTAGAATTATAATAGATTCAACCAGAGAAAATTTTGATTTATCCATTTTTTACCATAACTTTAATTAGTACAGAGTTTTTTCAATGTAAATACAGATCTAAAAATAATTATGTCCGACTATCAAAATAAATATGTAGGGCATTCAACT